CCTCCTGTGCAAACTCACCTCCATGCGAGGCAGTGTCATCAGGGAGGAAAGCGGCAGAAGAATGAAGACAACAACAGTGTCAGCTGGACACTGCAGTGACATTGCAGTGAACTAGAGAAACAACCCTGCCCAGCTTGGAAACAAAACAAAGACTAACAGCCCCAAAATACAATTGGTACACCGTCATCTAGACATCTGGGGTTGGGGGTTTGAAACCCACCCCTTCTGTTCGTATGGGAGTTTTGATGTTCTCCCCGTAATCCCTCCCACAGCCCAACAACATGACGTAAACTCCAGGAAACACCCTGATGTGTCATGTTAATTCCCTTTAAGAAGAATTCATGCGTTGCAATTTCTTAATACCACCTTTAAGTCTTTACTCATTTCTCATTTTCAGAGATCTGTTCAGCCAATCAGACTGGAGCATTCAGCCCTCTTTTTGGCACGCAAACAATGAAGGGAAGCTAAGAATGGAAGGCCCTGCGTTTTCTGGGTCGTGGAACAGCAGAGCCGAGCGAAGGGAAGGGCTTTCAGGACACGCTCCACACCCAGGGCCCCCAGATTCTTTCCAGCCTCCCCCCCCAGCCAGAGTTCCAAAGAGCCTCGTGTCAGCGATATCGGACCGACCCTTATCAGAGGCCTCACCCTGGCACCCTGCCAGGAACTCACCAGTTCACCATGACTGGATGATATCACTCCCACCCTGCATGCCCCTTTCAGCTCCAAGGCATGGGCACTCCCCCAAACCCCGTGACAAGACCCCCTCAACGTGGACAGCGCCGCTCTCTGCACTGATGCACCAATCAGAAGGCGAGCACCGCTCTCTGCACTGCACCAATCAAAAAGCAAGCACCGCTCTCTGCACAGATGCACCAATCAGAAGACGAGCACCGCTCTCGGCACTGATGTACCAAGTAGAAGGGCTCACAGACACACCCAGAGGCATGAGGAAGGTGAGGTGAGGTGAGAATGATTTTCAGTCACAAGAGGCATTTCAAGGGTAAACTACCCGAGAAGCGACATTGACAGGATGGAACAAAAATGCAGGAAATTAACTTGTGCATGACTGCAGTGAGGCAGGTGGGAGTGACAGGCCCATCTGCAATTACTGCTCAAAGATTATCCTGGGAAAAGAGAAGCCCTTCGTTGCTGGCTGGCAAATATTAATTAATATCAGTAATACAATTAGATTTCTCTTTGATACACAGAGGGATGAGAGCAAACAGAAAGTTAAGCCTTACGAGGGAACGGCTCGACCGTGGCTCAGCCTTAATGACCAGGTGTGCGTGCACGAATGAGGAACAGCTAAGCGAGAGGCTGTACTGGCTCAAACCGCCACCCCTGAGGGCCACGGTGGCTCCCCGGCCAGATCGCACCGGCATCCGCAGCGGAAACTCCCGTCTGAGATCAATGCTAAAGCAAGTTAAGAGCAGGCGATTTGGCGCCGGCGTGCCAAAGAAGCGAAACATGCAGTAATTAGAGGAGAAATAATCCAACTGCAGGCCTGAGGACTCGCATTCATGCAGGAGAAAGAGAAACCATTCTGGGCTGGGAAAAAAGAAAACCCTCAGATTGTGTCTGAGAGCCTGAGAACAATGACGGCGGTATGGAGCCGATCAGCCTGACTCGCACCCAGCTTATGGAAAGCACAGCTCTCGCTTCCTGATGCGATGCTTCCTACAGTTCCTCACCCTGCTCCAGTGCCCGCCAACTGAAAGATGGCTGCCGGAGATCTGCACACCTTTACAATCCCCTCGGTCAGCTGCCAGAGAGGCCACACATCAATCCTTATGGCAAATCCAGAGACTTTGAAGAACTTTCCATTTTAGGGGTTTCTGACCATTAATTGCAGTGTCCCAACTGTCAGACTTCTCCAAGAGTTCCCCGAGTTGTGTTCTGGGCTCCATCACAGCATGTTGGGCAAGCTCCAGTCAACACAAAGCGAGACAAATTCTTTTCTGCAGCCACTCATCGTCACATGTAACCAACAGCTGAATGACAAGACGCTGCCGACCCCATAACCTGCCGCTTTTTGCCACTGAAATCACAACACTGCCACACCCTGGCCGGAGGCCGTACTTCAGGGAGCATACCCAAAGCCATGTATCAGCCAATCATATCAAACTAGCCTCTCTCCATTCCGTTCACTTCTACCTCCTGTCATATCTCATAGATAAAAATTCAGTAACCAATTGACACCTCTCCCACCCCACCGAGAGCCTTTAGTGCACCATTTTTGAGCAAAGATTCAAGTGTGACGGTAAGAGCTGTCAACCCACCCATTCCTTCCGGAAAGAGCCTCTTAGCAGCCCACTTGACAGCTCATACCATAGCGACCTGACCACAGAGCGCTGATGCACCACTTCCACTGAAGGGCCAACTTGTTGCTTGTAGGAGCATGGGGGGGGGAGGGGGGGTACCCTGCTGCTAAAAGGGGGGACGCCATCCTAGCTGGAGTACTACTTTCACAGAGGGTCTAGGAGGCATCTACAGGAGGCCAACCTGAAAAAATTGGACTGGACATTGTGAGGAAATTTGCACAAACATGGGAGAACATGCAAACTCCACCGTTCCACCCTCCGAGCATCTGAACCCCACAAACAACACAACTTTGCGAATCCATATTCGGTCATGCGTATCATGATTTCGAATACAATTTCCAAAGGGTAACGGTTTTCTTTCCTGTTTGTATGAGTATGAGTGACTAACTGACACATGGCCTTGAGATGACCTATAAGGACAAAGCATTCATCGCACATCTCCTAGCAGCATTCAGGATTCTGCTTCTGCACATTAGTGGCACAGCTTTAACAATGATGTCAGTGTACAGAGTCACAGAGTGATCCCTTCTCCCCAACTATTACCCACAGGCTTGTCCAAAGCCCGGGGACTGCTGTCTGGCCAGTAACCCTTAATTTTTAATGCTTCTCATTGATGTTGGGCACAGTAACGACACTCTGTATACCTATCAAACAGGAGCTTAACTTCTAGCTAACAGTGAACTGAAGACCTTCACTCACATGACTATCACAGGCTTCTGCTATTGGCTATGAGACTTCTGATGAGCACCAACAGCAGCGAATAGCAGTTCCAGGTCACCGAGGAGGCCTGCCTTCATCTAACCACAGCAGGTCCAAAAATAATTGTTTAGCCAATGTCAAGAGAGCCAAAAACACTTGGGAGACACTTGGTTCCCAAAGGAATTTCCATTCCATTTAGGAGCTTAGGGGCTGCACGCCATCCAGAGACTTTCACTGAAGTTGAACATGAACTTCAGCGGGACCAGAACCAGATCCAAAACTTTGAATTCATTCAGCAGGGTATCCTGGCTGATGTGTGTTATTTCTCAGCAGCGGTTCTGCAAAAATCCATGCAGCCTGACCTGAACAGTCCACATTCATGAAGAGCAGGAAGGACAACGAGGAGGGTCAAAATTCTGCCTAGCCAGTAACTGCAAGCTTCAGTAAGGACTGATGAATGGGAACATTCACCCACAAGCTCCGGGGCCCCCAAGACCCCCGGGACCCTCGCTAAAAGGACGCATTATTTGCAGCGACAAGCGAACTTGTCCAGTTAATGAGCCGTGTGGGCTGCACACAGGACCTTCTAACACTGCCCAACTACTTCTTTCTAGGAAATATAGAATCACCCATCTGAGGACTTCAGATATCAGGATTGCACTTCTCATACTTTCACTTTAATTCTCAGATTAATTACAAAAATAGTAGTGGTGCGCCATTGTGGAAATTTTAGCAGATACCGATAACCGAAACATTTGGCTCATATTTCCAATACTGATAATCAACACCAATAACCGGTTCAACTCTGAGCTTCACATATTTGCAATGAACCTGATATCAGTGACACTGCTTCTTAGGATTCCATGATTGCGTGCAGCAAACACATCATATAATTCAGGCAGTGAGACAGTGAAGAAGTTAGGAGAATTTTGGTACAAAGTGGTGGCAGAATCCCTCATACAAGGCTGACTGTCCAATGCAATCATCTCCATTTTTGGAGTTAAGTTTGACCCAATATTGACCCAAGTCTACATGCCAGCAATAAATTAACCAAGACCTACTAATCGGACTGATGCCTTGATTTTTAATGAACAAAGGTAACAGTTGAATAAAGGGTCTGGTTCTGATGGTACCATACTATTTTAATAAGTATTCATAACAATGACCACTGCAATGTCGTTTAAACTACAGAGATGTTAATAAATCCCGCAGAGACTTCTGATGGAAAATGCTTCATTTTTCAACCAAATCTGATGAAGACTACGGTCCACAAGAGCGGTACAAACATCGCAGGTAGAGGCTTGTTAGCTTAGATGAAAAAAAAACCTTTCTAAGACAAACTGAAAACTGCTGTACTGTGTTACTGTGGAAACCATCCCCATGGCCAGAGAGCACATGACTGGGGACGTCCCATCCAGGACAGTGTGATGTAGCCACTTTGATGCTGGTTAATGAGCAGGGTGACCCGCACGCACGCACGCAACTCCTAATATAAAGCCCCTGGATGTTCTAGGCACTGAAATAACAGGATTACCAAACTCCACGTCCTTTCTGTACTGGCCGGGACCCAGCAAAGAGACTGGTGAAATGATCAGGCAGCGTATGTAATGCGTCCTTTGACCAGGAACTTAGTCAGACCCACAGGAGCTGCGGGCGACCCCAAACCCGACCTCACATTCCTCACATCCGTGTTCTAATCACACGTGTGTATCTGACACGAGTCATGTTTCTGGACGTCCGCTGGACCATGGAAAGTTCAGGCGACCAATCAATGAGCTCATGAGGCGCCCAACTCAAACATGTTACCCACTACTCCATTATTTATACGCAAACACAGATCAGCTATATCTGTCATGTTAACAAATTCAGCTGGTAAAAGCATCAGAAATTTAACCTGAAGCTCTCTGATCATCCATCATTTTTAAGGTCTCGCTGTGTAATTTTCCCAGGCTGTGCATCGCGTGAGCGTGTCCATGTTACCAGGAGCTCATCCATGCTTGTCTGGCACTTCTCCAGGTTGATCCGCTTGATGGCCACCTTCTCCTTGCGCGGGATGCAAAAGGCCGCCTGGACCACTGCCGTGGCGCCGCTCCCTGCGGGGGAAAAAAGGCAGAGCTGAGGCTGGGAAGCAGGAACACGCTCCAGACACGCACACGGAGCCGGATCCGCCACGGGCAACGTCAGCGGGCAACTTTTTCAAGTAAACTCAGAGGTTAAATGCAGGAGAATTTTAATAAATCGACACTTGGAGAATCGCCACGTAAATTATCACGCAGTCAGAAATATATAACCACCGCATAAAGGCTAATTTGCTCGTTTTCAGACTTCATAACAGCTACATCCAACTGATTGGCTCAGTGTTGGGGGGGAGGGGGGGGGGAATCTGGGTCCAGAAAAGACTGTCACTGGGATGCACACTGGTCACAGAATCGGGGGGGGGGCTAGGACCATCGACCAGCTGGCATCAGCCTCAGCAGACAGACAGAGAACTGGAGGTGACTGACCACTGAGCAGGCCCAGAACCAGCAGGCCCCAGCTTGGCCAGCACACGGCAGGCCCTGCAGACTCAGCAATGAGCCCTGATTGGTGCTGACGTGCTGGAAGCCCCGAGCCGCCGCTCCCGCTGGCACAGAGGGGGCACGGCGAGGACACGTAGCGTGGCAGAGACCTCCTTCAACCGAACCATTACAAACTGACCTCACCTTCTCCCTTTTTTTTTTTTTTGAATTATCATATGTGAGGCGGGGTGTGTGGGTTCATTGTCATCCCACATTTGGAGTCTGACATCGCCAAGCCGCTGAATGGAAAGTGCCTGAACACAAGCAGACCCCACGGGCCAGACGGAGCCAAGGATTGGCCGGCAAGATGAAGGGGGCGGGGCTTTGGCGTGCTGTCTACACCGCCAACCCATGACATGTGGGTGTCACATGCCTGGTAGGGTTAACCCGCTGTCCCCGCCGTCGTGCTTCTCCAACCCGGATACGGACGCTCAGATTCTGCCACCTTCCACAACCTTCCGTCTTGACAAACAAAGGCTGCATTGTCCCATGTTTAATAAACCCAGTGTGGGGGGGTGACAGCAGGGGGCTACAGGCCCAAATTAATAATTGTATACAGAGGTACCGAGAGAGTGGAGCAGAACACCAGGATGACCGCAAACAGCCCCCGGAAAAATCCACACAGAGAAACATTAGATGAATTAAAAACACAGCTGTAACTATAGCCAATATTTAACAGCACAGAGACCCTCACCATCATTTTAAACAGACATTAAGCTTATGCCTTCAGGGGTAGGCTTTTATTTTTACAAATAATACCTGCATGGTAAACGGCTCCCATCCGTATTGTTTTTACAGTAAGAGAGGGACAGGGTTTTCCTGAGACGCATGGGGGGCTCACCACTCTGGGGGGGATGAACAGGTCACTCTGGGTGCAGCGAGATTAGCCAGGCAGTGTGAGGTGGCCATCGTCCAGCGGAGTGTTCCAGATCTCTGAGCCGGAAACATTTCCGCCAGTTATCGGCAGACAACTAGCGTGAAGAGACCCCCCCGCCCCCCAGCAGTGG